TGAAATTTTCATAAAAAAATATATGATAAATGACAGAGTTTCATAAATAAAACTAAAATTGTAATAAAACACATCAATATGCCATAATACTAATAGCAAAATATTTAAAAATAAAGTTTAGATTATTTTTTTTTTAAATTTTATTCTATCGAATAACAAAAATGTATTCTGTTTACGATAATTATCTTAGGGATTACCCTCCCAGTAAATTGGTTGTTGGTGATAGAAAAGCTTTCCAATATTCGGGGTTTAATGTAAGCAACCCCACAAAAATCATTATCCATGGTTATATTAGTAGTATTGAGGACGAAGTCTTCACTTTAAATAAAGATGGTACGTTTTTCAACCAACTGAAACTGCATTATTATATTATAATATTGTTTATTCATTAATAATGATGAAGTTTACATTGTCTATCAATTTTTTGTAGCTTATTTAGATACAGGTGAATACAATGTGATAGGAATAGATTGGAGCAAGTTGAATGATGTTTTCTATGTTGTTGCAAGATCTAATGCGATCACTGTGGGACAAAAGTTGGGGGAATTTTTGGAATTTTTGATTGTAAAGTGTGGGGTTGATTCAAAAGATATTCATTTGATAGGGCACAGTTTGGGGGCTCATATCGCCGGAATAGGGGCTAGCAGTTTAAAGGACTATTCTGTTGGACGAATAACAGGTAGGGAAAATGAAAATGGATCATTAGTTTTGGAAAATACTGTAGTAGTATTATTTAAAGTACAATAATTCATAATATTTAAAGGGTAGTAAGTAAATAAAAGAAAAGCTTTAATCATGTATATAAAAAAGGTCGTCCAAATCCGAATTTTTACTGATACATGGTGTCCAGGTTTGGATCCTGCAAGTCCTGGATTTACAATCAATAGACAGGATCAATTTTTGGATGCAGGGGATGCTGATCTCGTTGACGTTATTCACACATTTACTAGAGCACTTAGTCTTTTAGCGCCCATCGGCCATGTCGATTTTTACCCTAATGGCGGCAAATTTCAAAGGGGATGCCCAAGTATTTATGACATATGTACGTAGGGATTACTTAAGTATAAACATTTTGCATTATATTTTATAATTTTTTACGTCTCTACAACTCATTAATAGTATATGACAACAGATGGCGATATATAGCCAATCACTTGATATTATTCAACTTTTTTTGGGCTGCCCCTTGTAAATTTTATTTAATTAAAGGGAGACTCGATCAGAGTATGCTGTGCCATCACGGCAGGGCCTACAAATACTTTGCGGAATCTATTAGAAACAAAAGGGCGTTTAAATCCCAACGCTGTCCAGATTTGCAATCGGCCATCCAGGAAAATTGCAAGGAGAAATCGCATGTTTACATGGGACAAGCAAACACTTACACGTAAAGTTATTTTTTTAATAATAATCTACTTGTTTCGTAGCTAGGATTAAGCATCAGGGATACAAAATACGTGAGAAGGGCGCTGTGCAGAAAAACTTTGAAGAAGAAAGTCTTTATAATTATTAATAATTTTTTTTTGCTAGTGTTTTGATATATTACAATAAAACCAGAGGTGTAAATAGGGTGGGGGGGGGTCTATCGCACCATTAAAGTTATGTAGTTACGCCACTGACTAAAATTTACGTTATTTATTTCTCTGGAATTTAAGCAGTGTATCCTGGGGGTCTTGGACCTTGTTGTTAGCTAGGGCTCTGATAGTAACAGTAAATAGGCTACACTGTAAAAAATGCATTGTTTTAGTGATGGTTTGTACTATGTTCGAACCCATTCGAAGCCACCGTTTTCCTTGAGTGGAAATCATGACGGAAATGATAGCGAGGAGCCCGAATATTATGATTAAAATTATTTTTGTTAACGAAAAATTCAAACTGTTGCTCTGTAATTACATTTTTGTTTTGTAAGACACGTAACAAAATAATAAATATTTTAAATTGAATACCTACCTAATTAAATAGTGGTCGTTTTTCTACAAAAATGCTGAGGGGAGAGGGACAACAACTTTCTAAATAATTTTTGGGAAATGTTAAATAAATTATGCATCTTGATCTCCACTTTTGGGTAGTTTTCTTCAAACCTATTAAGGTTCTATATAAAAAACTGAAGAAACCCTTTTTAGCCCTATTGCTTGGCATTCTTTATATTACAAACACATTCCAAAAGCTGAATTTTGCATTTTGGGTGTAGGTTTCCGTATTTAGGGCACTGTTTTGTACTTTTTACTCGAATTTCAACTTTTTGGCTCAACCAAATTTCGGAAAAAGAAAGTTTTTGTTGAAATTTCTATCTAATGTTTCGTTTCGCACGAGTGGAAAACTTCTTCAGTGTGGTTCACATAAGTATCGGAACTGGAAGGACTTCTGACTCGAATCAGGACATCATCGGTTTACCAACTAGCCGCGAAAGGCCTTACCAATTTGTCTAATTCACAGAGAAAAGAAAAAATTACAATTTTCGATTATAAATGACTGAAATTGCCATAGAAATAGTAGAATTTATTAGGTAACTTGTAATAATCTCAATTACGTAATGCTTTTTTAAAAATTACTTCAAGTTTCTTAATTATTACAATTTAATTTGTAATATCAACTAAAATACCTTGTAAATTTATTTCTGCTGGGATTTTATTTTTACAAATTCGGGTCCAAATTGTAATTTTCATTATTTTCGCTCACGAAGCAATGGGCTAGTGGGATAAA